TATATATATATATATATATACAATTGCGATTACTGAGTATTATCAATTTCGTGATAATCATCAGCTGTTTTACAAAACAATGTGTACAGTTATAAATGGTTTGTTTTAGTAAGAATTATTACCTTTATCGTACTTATTGGTATGGTTAATTATCTTTCTTGTAATATTGCTATCAGCAGTAGAGAAAACGAAGTATAGACAGGAATAACAGTAACAATAAACTGAAAAAGAATAGTTAGATAAAAATGATCTAGAAGTGCACTAAGAAAGTAATGATGGCAATATTGAGAGAATTAAAGTGATGTTATGAATGCAGTGATGTTTTGATGCCTGTGTTAATTATATTTGTGATTTATGAGAGATATAAAGTTCCTAATTGTTTATGATAATTATCAAGCTGTCGCCAGCAATAATTGTTGATATTTTTCTGGTTAATGGTAGTTATAATAATAATGGCATTGCTATGCTTGCCAATGATTACTCTTGTTACAATTATAATTATAGTGGTGATGATTCTATTGATTGCAAAGTAATGCTGTTTTACTGATATTATAATTTTATTTGCAGCTTTAATAATATTAATAACAATGATATTGAATGGTTTATAATATCATCCATCCGAATATACACTGGGTTTGATTACTTACTGCTATTATATATGAATCTAGCAGTACTAACTACTGTAAGAATTACATTTATTAAATTCTAGTGGTTACTTTTAATAATTCTATTTGTTGCAGAAGAAAAATATTAAACATCATCTTAATGTTGGAAATGACGGTAGTTACTATAGGGACACTAGTTTTATATATTTTCGTTACTTTTATGTTATGTGTAATTATAATGATAGTAGCATTAATGATGGTAGTAGTAATGATGGTCTTAATTGATAAGAGTGTTTTGAACAATAGCATTAGTTTTACGGACCCTAGTTTTTATTACAAGACAGCTAATTTTATCCATTCATGTTTAATTATTATCATTTTACTTTATTATAAAAATGATATCGTTCAAGTCTATCGTGTAGCATTCCTCCCAAATGGCATTCATATCTATTTTAGAAATCAGGAGAGTGGAAACTTTTTCCTGCTTATGCATTTTTGTTTATAGGAATATTTTTCACTGACTCTGCGTATTGCCTTTCATCTTTTAATTATGTTTTCTGATTCTTAAAAATTTTTATAGCATTTTTTTGATTTTCTTGGCAATACATGATGAGTTTTTGTATAAATGTGTTTTTAATTGCTATAAATCTCTTTCTTTTTTTTATTCTCAAGTGTTTTAATAGAAGATTTAGCCTACTAATTGTTTGCAGTAATGGGGAATACGTGGAAGACATCTCGCTGCCAAGTGTTGAAAAATTAGTCATTAATTCGGTTACGACATATTCTTGTCCAAAGAATGGATTAGTTATTTTTGCGGGCCGTAAAGATGGTTCAATTGCTACATATACAACTGGCGAAATCAAACCACTGCGTGTACTGCATGAACACCGAATGAATGGTTCGTTTTTGTATTCAGTAATAGTGAGTTTGGATAATTTTTTGAAGAATAAGGATAATTTTTTATTATTCTGTTTGCTTAATGCTAGAACAACTCAAAACAGAGGTTAGAAAGAAATATGATGTATGGGAGACTAAAATTCTGCCAACCTTAGGATACTTCGGTTATTTATCAAATTTTAGTGTGTACACTAAGTACTGATCCTGAGGTTGGAAAGTTATTAAGTGGATCCTGGGATAACACTGCAATAGTTTGGCCAATCAAAGAAATCATTAATGATTTAAGTTTTGAGGTAAATTTAATTCGTTTTGTTCCCGATGTACTTTGCATGTTGAGAAAAGTTCATCCTACAACCTCTGTTTTCATAAATGTCAGTGTTTTAACTGATAATTCCAGTGTTTAATTCAGCTTTCTTTTCTCACTACATAGTATTAATATATAGATGTGGTATTATGTAATCAGAAGTTCATCATATTTCACAATTTACGAAATTTTCATCTGTAGGTTTCTATTTTTTCAGGCCTTGTGTTTGGAGGGACACAAGCTCTCAGTATGGGCAGTTGTTAGCATACCTGGACGACCTGGTTTCTACTTAACTGGTTCAGCGGATCGAACTATCAAATATTGGGAAGGAGATATCGTAATCAACTCATTCTCAGGTTAGCGCAACTTTTTTATATGTTATATAAACATTTCAGTTTCTTCATATTTTTGACCGTACATTTATGAGTAAGATGCAACAACGCTTTTTTCCATATTTGGCAGTGGAATTAAGTATTTTGTTGCAACTTTGTTTTCTGGTGTATTTAAAATTCTTTATTCATTGTTAGGTCATGAAGATGTTGTAAGATCTCTAGTTGTGCTTTCTAAACATTTGTTCCTCTCTGCCGCTAATGATTCAACGATTCGAGTTTGGGATATAAATGCAGGAGTTTGTCTTCAAAAATACTTCTCTACAGCCAACGAATATATTTACAGGTGCTGTTTTAGTATTTAAATTTCGTACACGACGCCCAAAATTTTTAAAATTTTATTTTATTTCTCCCAGGAATTTATGGTAACAATGTTCAAAACACTTGATGCAGCACTCATCTTCGTATTTAATTTAACTTAATTTTGCAACACGATTTTTAAGGCTCTGAATAAAGTATGAGTTTCAGTTTTTTTTGGAAAAAATGTTTTAGTCTAACATCTGCTAACATGTCTGGTCGTAATTTGGTTGCCAATGTCGGTGAAAGTGGCTTTCTGGAAATTTGGGATGTTAGCGAAAATGGTTCACTGCATCATAAGCAATTGATTAAAACACCTGCACAAAGTCTTTGGTCTGTTGCCTTCTTGAAAAATAGTGATATTGCTGTTGGTGCAAGGTTAGTCTTCTTTAATCATTTTACTTAAAAGTTAGTAAAGCAAAAATTCAGTATTTTATCTACAACAGTGTACTTGTTCTCTAAAGTGCAGTCATCATTAACTGCAACTTTTGTAGTCAGTTAAAAAGTGTCATTTATATGAGAAGGTGAATTTTAGTCTTGGAAATCAGGAGTATTATTTCAGTCATTGACAATGCAACTTTTGTCATTCCATTTAAATTGAGGAGTTGAATCAAAAAGTGTCAATTTTAGTGATGGAAACATTTATATTTTCACTACTGTTCTGGAACGCAGAGCAAATGCTCGTGCAATGCAACTTTTTCAAAATGTTGTTTCGAGAGAAGTCGCTAAGAGTGAAGCGGTCATGGCTGCACAGGTCAAATTTGAATTAGTTCTTAATAAAAAATAATGTAATCTCTACACCAATATATGTCAAAAAAACCAGGCCCCAATATCTAGTGTTCTTATCATATTTGGCAAAGCCATTTTCAACATATATTTGCAATGCATTACGGTCTGACCTGTTCACTCTCTTATATTTTATTGTTCTTTTTTTGAGCAGAATGAAACAGTCAAAATAAGAGTAGCCGTGGGAAATGGAGAACCTAATATTGAATTGCGATATAATAAAGGATCAGATCCATATGACGCGGCGCGGATATTCTTAATGGTTCTGCATAAATTAATTTCGGTTGCTTGAAATAAGATTGGCTAGTTATCTAAATCAGTATTATATAACCTTAATTTGAACGGTCATAACTCTTTCATTTTCTTTTTCTTCGTTTGCTCTTTAATCCGTCAGTACCAGTAGTTAGAAGTGACAAGTCAATGTTAAGGGAATCATTAATTTTTTATAATTAAAGGAAAATAACTTACCTCTATCATATATGGATGAAGTTGTGCAGTACATTATCGAAAATATAGTTGAAGCACGTCAAGCGCATAGCAGAAGCATGCCACCCCAATCAAAACCTTCTGAAAAGTGTCATTTACATGGAAAGGTGAATTCTAATTTTGAAATTAGGGAGTATTATTTTAGTGCAATTAGTTTCTCTGCAATTAAGTCCTTGAAAATGCATGTCCGTATTCTTTAAGCAAGTGAACTATGTCTAGATATTTGGTGCTGTTTATAGTTCGTTTGTCTTTCTTACAGATCACCGTGTAGTACAGCCAATCCAAATCGCTGCATTTAAAACGAAATGATTTGCATTTTAAAAGTTAAAGATTACATAAGTACAACCATATTTGAAGCCATTAACCTTAAACTATGTTAATTGTAATGGTTTTTGCTTTCGCTTCCAATTTTTTTCGGTGTTACATACGACTTTAAGTGTCGTGGCAAAAAATATTTTTTTCATGCTCGTGTTTATATAATCTAAACTGTATTGCATGAAATCAGCATAAATTTGAAGAACAATGTGGAAATGATGCTGATATTCAGTGTCGTTCTTTTCGCTTGTTTTTATAGGTTTAGAAACTTATGTCACTGAAATGACTTTTTCAAGTCATCTTGATGTAAGATTTTTTTCATTTGTCTTCAAAATTTTCCGGTATGGAATTACCTTTTCGATATAAGCATGCATGATGGGAGGCTATTAAAGTTATCATATAATATGGGAGGTAAGGGAGATAATAATGCTTGGGCTGCGCAGCGTTTTCTCAAAAAATACAATCTTTCTTTCAAGTTACTGGAAAACTTAGGAAAAGTTTCAGCTGATCTAGAGTAACTTTTATTTCATTTATCAGTTCTAACATAAAATAAGATTGAAGTTGAAGGCTGCTGTGAAATTAATTTTCAGGTTTGTGCCCAACCTCGTTTCCACGTTCCTGAGAAATTTAGTGGCTCCAACAAACTTGAATTAGGTAGTTTCACCTAACCTTTCCAGCACTTATTTTTATTAATTCATACCGTAATTCACTCTTGCAAGTCCAAATATCAAATTTTCATGTATTAAGCAGAAAAGTATTGGCCATTTTCGGAGAAGCGCGATCTACTTATTTACATTTGTTTAAATTCATTATATTACACGTCAGCAATATTGAAAGTTGGGTCCTACTTCAGATATGACTTGAAATATGTTATCAAGTGCTTATTTATTGTTGCTTTATGTAAATATTTGAAAATGCAGTGATTATAATTTAGAAAGCATAAAGTAAAAAAATAAGATGAAAATACTACACAGCTAAATGTTGATGCAGTCAAATTTTCAATAATTTTAGATAGCAAACGACCACGTAGTGAACTTGTTCCCCTATCTAGTTTTTTCCAGTTTGGCATTGAACAAACGTCTGTAAAAGCAATTTCGAAACTTCGAGAGCTGAACGAATTACAGGATCACCATAAATTGAATGAAGAGCAGGTCTTTCATTTTTGTTGTTTGTTTGTTTATTATGGTACACAACAGAACATCAAAATCAAATTTTAAATATAGCAACTGATCGAAATTCATTTAAATACCAGGATTGGTTTCAGTATCAAAAATATAAATCTCTATTTTTGCTTCAATTTTGTTGATTTCGGTTCTTTATTCTTAACATTTATCTTAATATAATCGTAACAATACTGTTTAATGTTTTAATCCCATTGGATTTATATTTTCTGTTGCATTTTTTGTAGTTAAATGCTTTGGAGGATATTTTGAAAAGCTCATCGTACGAACTGAAAGATATTCATGTTTTTGCAATTGATACCGCTCTCGAATGGAACATTGGTCGGTCAATACTTCTGTCATAATTTTTTATATGTACATTCATTGTAAATGGTTAGTTTGGGAGGAAAGAGGTTGAAATGTCCTTCCATTATTTAGCATTTAAAAAATTATCAATTTTAAATATAGCGACTGATCAAAATTCATTTAAATACGAGGATGGTTTTAGTATCGAAAATATAAATCTCTGTTTTTCCTTCAATTTTGTTGATTTTGGTTCTTTATCAAAGTCTTCAATTTCAGATGCAATTGTTCCAGTCATGGATGTGTTTCGATTAGCACTGTTAAACATCACACTTAATGAGATTTATTGTTCTCTGGAAACGAAAAACGAGGGAATGGCCAGAGGTTTACAAACTTTGCAACGACTGACAAATTTTTTAGTAAGCTTTAGAATTTCAGCAATTTGAAGTGTAAAAATGGATGAGTTGAGATAGAAATCAAGTTAAAATTATGTTTCATGGAACTACTTCATGTCAATTTTCAATTTTCTGTGTCATTTTAATGTGCATTTAGTTTTACCTGAGACAGTTCTGAGAGTTTTGTTGTCATAGTACAAATGTTATTAAATTTATTATCTTTTGTCTGTTCTTTCGAAATCTTGCTTGTCTGTGAAGGTTTTTGCTTTCGATATTTCTGAGTTCCCAATTTACATTTTTATAGGTAAGTGCAAATTCCGATCCTGTTCGTATTTTAACTTGCCGTGCTATAGCCAATGCTGCTCTTCACCAGTGGGGTCGTACAATGCTTATTCATGATATGACTACAGTGATTAGATGCGTTGCTGTCCAGTTAATTAGTGCAAAACATGCTTTGCAAGTAGACTTTATATATTTTTTGCATTTGCATCTCATTTATTCCTGTATTTGATTTTTTATATTTTACTTATTGTAAATAATAGAATGTATTGAATCAGAGATCAGGTCAAAACTTTTGATTTATACTGCATTAAAATGAATCATTTCAGCTTGCAGCAGCTTCAGCATTGGCAAACTGGGCATTGATTTTTCTGGAGGAAACAGAATGTGGTAAAGTTGCCGAACTTGGTCCCCGAGAAGATGCTTTACAAGCCATCATTCAGGTTCCATTTTTAATGTGTGAGAGATAGTTTCCTTTATATTTTGATTTCACTGTTTCTTACATTTAATGAGGAAATATTGAGGCTATTGAAAATATCGCGAGTTTTGGTGATTTTAATCAAACAGCATTAATTCGTCTCCTCCAGGCAATCGTTACTTTAATGTGGGGTGATATCGCTGTTATTCAGGTTCTATTTTTGACGTTTTTGACTGCTAAAATATTAGACTCAGATCTTGAAATTCTTTTGCTATGATTTAGTTTTAGTTTGCCAAAGGTCGAAATATCATTGGTATAGTAAATCGAGTTAAGGATGCTGTAGTGGATGAATCCGGAAAAAGTATTGCTAGAGATATCGCTCAGATGGCATATTCATTATGAATTTATGTTTTTATACATACTGTATTTTATACATGGTGTAGCGTGGTCCGCATGTTTAATATCTGAAGAAGTACTGTTTTGTTAGTTATATTTATTTGATTGTTAATAATTTATGATCGTTTATTTCACTGAAATATATGAAAATGGCGGGTTTTTCATTAAAATTTTCTGGTGATTTATTTTCATTGCATTTGTAAGAGGAACATATTCATAAGCTTTGAGCTCGAACTTTTTTTCTTCCGTAAAACTCATCAATGTCTGCGCCTTATGTATACATGTATGAAACCACTTATTTTCCCTTTTGTTGATTCTTCATTTTTGGGCTGTAATCAATACTATGTTCTTATCGTTATATTTGGATGATCGGATTTTAAGTGCATCTCTTTTTTCAAGAGTGTTATCGAAAGTTTTAAAATGAGTGACGTTCAGGAGTATGGAATAAACAGAGCGACTCTAACTTGGAAACAATTTTTCAATTTAAGAGAAGCAAATAACCTGCTTTATAACTAGTATGGGGAACGGACTAGATGCATGTTTTCAAGAACAGTGATTGAGTTTATAATTGCACTACAAGCAGTAGTGGTTCAAGTTCTCTTTGATTATTTTCATATTTGATGGGAATACTTCGTAGGCTAGATTTGTATCTGCTTTTCTAATTTTCGAAGGAAAAGAACGGAGCTGGATGACTGTGGGAGTAATCTCCTCGGTAGCTTACCGTTGCTTGAGGCATACATGGGATTCTGTCCTACAAACTGGAGGAGTAGCTAAGATTCAGTCACAATTCAGCACATACCAAATATTCGAGCTTGGAAGTGGAGGTAGATATTCCATTAAATTCTTGCCACCATCATTACTGCTGAGCACACAATACGAGTAATGGTTTCTGGTCCTTTGGCGTCTGATTTTATGTGAAAAGGTTGGATGCAACTGATTATAACGCATGAGGAATGAATAAGTACTTCTGTCAGAACGAAGCATGGAAAAAGTTTCATAAACACGCTATCAGGAATTACTTCCACTTTCACAGGTCTTTTGTTTCGCTTCTTAGAACTAATAGGTGATATATTGATTGTGCAAATATATTTAAATGTGAACTATTGTAAGTGGTGTACTCATGCACATTGACGTGACCCATTACAATGTAAGACAAGTGAAAAGCGTTGTCATATATCTCTACCTTAACGCTCGTACTTCGAGAAACTTGAGATGTGTCTATGCAACATTTTCGTTAGTCCCTCGTACAACGCTGATCAACGTACAGTGCATAAATTAAAAAAAAAAAGGTGATAGTTCCACCATAAAGCTGTGCAATGTCAACCACTTAACTGAGTTTAGAGAGCGCTTTGAGAAAAGGGATAAATATAATAAAATGACTAATTAAAATACTTTTTTCATATTTCCACAGTGAACTGAGAAAAAATTTAAACGACAATCCAAAAACAGAACATTTATCAATTGATGACAAAGAGACAACACAAGCAGTACCTATAGTGACTACAAAATACTATTATGAACAAATACTTCAAAATGTTTGCAGCACTTGATTTATGAAAATTAAATTTGAATGTCAACATTTATAGCCAACAAATTAAATTCATTGCATAGACTGAAGCTAAAAAATACTGTAGTAATTTTGTACAAATTGCCCGACTAAATTTAATTTCCATGACAGCAGAGTCAGAGCAAAAACACATAAGCTAATAATCGTTATGCTGACCGCATAAATAAGATGTGAAGGTTAATTTTAATTTCGCCTCATTACTGCAGTATTTACATCTAATTTTGAACATCATTATTTCAGCAGTTCGAAGATTAGTAAATGCTTTAGATATTCAGAACCTGAAAATGGGATCAAATTTACAATGATACTATGATCACAATATTAAATGATTTTCATGACTGTTCCTAGCGCTTTAAACATGACCTACCTTCAACATCATATAAATGAACGAAAATATCACACGGATTGCAAAGCAGCTTTTATATTATGCAATGCAGGTTGATCAACTCATTACAACATACTAGCGAAAACGTTACAAAGACACATATCAGGTTTTCTGAAGTACGATGGCACATATGACCACAATTATTACTATATTATATGATAGCAAATTAAATCAGTGTGCTCATGAATACACTAACAATCTTTCACATTCAAGTCTCTGAGCATTAATGCATCAAATATTTGTTTTGAATAGCGAAATAAAGCACTCTGGTGCTAATCAAAATATTATCCCATAATTTTTTAAATAGATCAAACATAAGGTTTATTGAATACGTGGGCGACGTTGTGGTGGGTGATGCGTTCCCTCCCTCTGAAGCTGCTACCTCTTTAATCAGACGCTTAGTGGCGCAGTGGTGAGTCTTGCATCAACTTCTTGGCCGGCTGCTATGCCTGGCTCTTGAAGCATGGGCGAAGCGTTGGTTAGTGCTTCATCCTCATATTTTGTATCTGACGTGGACATTGTAGTCCCTTCTTCTGCAGTTGTTACACTTTGTTCGGATGACGTAGTTACTGCATTCTCTTCTGCCGTATCTAAAACAGTCGACGCAGTGGTGGCCGTTGTGGTCTCTTCTTGTGCAGTTATTACACTTTGTTCGGATGACGTGGTTGCTTCATCCTGCTCTGTTGCATCTGAAACAGTCGACGCAGTGGTGTCCGCTGTGGTCTCTTCTTGTGTAGCTGATGTAGTTGTAACTTTAGTCTCAGATGACTGAGTTGAAGTTGATGTTTCGTCCTCTGTATCTCGATTTCTGCGCACTTCAATTTTCTCTAGAGATTCTGTGATCTCGGTCGATTCAGTTGTAGGTTTGAAGAGATCAGGTATAAAATGTATGTTTGCGTCTTGTCTTTGAACTGTAGATACCAAATCAGAAAATTTTAAAGATTTTGACCCCGTAGGAGTGAGATTGGCTTCTATTAATGATTTGGCTTCATCACGAGTAGCTGCTAAATGATCAGATTTTTTGTCAGAGGTTGAAGAACTGTCAATAAC